GTCCCAGATCCCTAGCCCCTTCTCCTTAGTTCAGGATGACATTTATACCTCATTTTGCCTGGCTGTCTTTGGAACCTTTCATGTTTATGTGGATTCCCCAAACGTATGTAATGTAATTAAATTTGATTTTTTCCTCTTAATCCATCTCATGAAATATAATTCTTAGACCAGCCAGAAGAACCTTGAATGGTAGAGTAAATTTTTCCTCCTCAACACTCCCTTCTCTGTGTGTCCCTAACTTCTTGCCATCCAGTGCAACACACCCCTTTTGAGTTGGCTTTGGAGCCAGAACAGGTCAAAGGTGAGCTACTCTCATGTCTGATTATCTATGTTAGTTTGACTTAGGAGCTGATTTTGGTATAATTATTTGTAACCATGGAAGCAGAGCTCATTTCTTTTGACATACATGGCATGAGCCATAACAACGCTATGCAGAAAGAATTCCTGAGGCTACTTTCCTAAGGAGAAGCCTGTGGGCAGGGCAGGCACTTATTGCTTCAGGGCTCCTGTCGGATACAGAAGGCAAAATGGAAGACGGTCTTATATTTCTGTTTCATTGCTTTTGTTTTGGTTTTTTAGATTGTTGAATATTTCACTGATAGTGCAATCGGGTATGTGTATATATAAAATAAAAATAAATAAACTGGTGCTAGGGTACAGTGCCATTAAGCTTTACAGATATGGGTAGTGAAGCAGGAGTAAATGAATCCGTGTGCTCATTTTCTGCTCAACATTATTGTTTACTCTTAGGCAACAAGCTGGAGTTGATCATTCCAAATGCCATGTCTGCATGGACAAATCCACAGAACCCTCCATATATATAACCAGGGTTGTTGTGGATTTTAGTTTTTCATAGAGAATCACTAACTTGTATTTCACATTTTGGACCAAACACAGGATATTGTTTGTTATATAACAAACATTATCTGTTTGTTTTTATGTTTGCTTTTTCAAGAATGACAAATTCACCTTATACATTATATAGATTGACTGAAATCATAAGCCCATTTTTTACCTTTATTTTACCTAATTTTATCTGTTGAAAGTGGAGTAAGTTTTGTACCATGTTTAATAATTTGTTTAATCGTTTTGCTTTGCATTCATAAATAAGATTGGTCTATAACTTACTTTATTGTGGGGCACCTGGGTGGCTCAGTCGGTTGAGCGGCTGCCTTCGGCTCAGGTCATGATCCCTGGGTTCTGGGATCGAGTCCTGTGTTGGGCTCCTTGCTCGGCGGGGAGCCTACTTCTCCCTCTCCCTCTGCCTGCCTCTCTGCCTACTTGTGCTCTCTGTCTCTCTGTCAAATAAAATAAAATCTTTAAAAAATAATAAAATAAAATAAAATCTTAAATAAAGATTAAATAAATAAAATCTTAAGCAAATAAAATCTTAAAAAAAATTCTAAAAAAAAAAACTTACTTTATTGTACTACCCTTGTCTTGTTTTGGTCTTAAGATAATACCTTAAGTTGGCTTAGTTTGAAGATTTTCTATTCCTTCATATTGGGTAAAATTGACCTGTAAAACCTCTTGAGTCTGGTGGATTAGTTGTGTGTGTTTGTATGTGTGTGTGTGTGTGTGTGTGTGTGTGTGTGTGTGGAGAGAGAATACTTTCTGATTCTTGATTGAATTTCTTAATGTTTATTGAGATTTTCAGATTTTCTTATTTCTTCTGGAGTTAGTTTTGTTAATTTTTTTCTAGAAAATTAGTCCTTTGATCACCCTAAGCATAACTTAAAAATTCGTTATATAGTTTTCCCATAAAATTAATTTGATCTAGAATGGAATTTTTATTCTAGTTTTTTATTTTGTTGACATTTTTAGCACTATACTTCATATGTTTTGGAATTTGAGTTTGCTGACTCATTTTGAGTAGAGTGATTTAAAATTCAGTTTGTATTATTGTTAGTATTGTGTTCTTTCCCTTTGGGCTCACTGTTCTCTCTCTGAAGGTTTTGTGATTGTTTTCACCTGGCCTGCAACACTGCCAGTCCAGAACCAGGTTTTATTATGTTGTATCAGCCACCCTTGCCGATGGTGATAACGAGGATCACATATTCTGTTACAAAGCCAGCAGGTAGCTTGTTTCAATCCCTGGTTCTGATTCATATCTTTGTCCATATCTCCTCCATAGGCTTAAACTTTTTATGTTTTGTTTTGTTTTGTTTTCAGCTTCCTCTCACAATCCCAACTCCCTTGCTTGCTTTCACACAGTTAACCTGGCGTAGGTCCCCCTATCTCCAGCAAAGCGATTTTAGATTCTCTGCCTCTAGGAGCAGAATGCCCAGCAGTCAGTGCTGGCTCCTAGATCTGAAGCTCTGCAGATCCCTTGACTTTAGACCCACTCACTGCCTTGTGATTCTCATCCATCTCCTGTCTACAGAGATGTTTATCTGGTCTTGAGAGCCAAACTACAGACTTTTGGTTTTCACTTTTTTTTTAACTCATCTCTAATTGCCATGTGTTTGAACAGAGGAGACTCATGAAGGTGTGAATTTGCTGAACCCTATTGACCAGAAGTCTCATAATTAACTTTTAAGCTTTACTTTATTTCTGGTCCTAATTTTTTGTCCATAGCTCTGTATAGTTCTGACCTTTGAAACATGCATTAAAAGTTAATCTTTTTTTAATGTACTCATTGTTTATATTCATCACTGAGAGAAAGGGAGTTATACAATATTTGAGAGTAAACTTCTTTAATGGGTTTATGTGATTAGAATTTTAAAGGTCAAAGTAATTAATTAGAAATTTGTTTTAATTGTGCTTTGATCACAAAAACTAGTATTGTTTTCTTTAAGAGACTGAACTAGCTTGATTCTGAATCATTTTATTACTAAACAGAAACAAATCAAAGTTGATTTGTTGATTCTCTACTGTATTTCAAGTCTTGTGAGGAATACGTGTGAAGGAAATAAAAAGGTCTCTGCCATTAGGAGAGAGTCTGGTATTTCTCAACTGAGGGGTAAGGATGGAAGACATGCTCCTTCTCTCTTCCCGGTAGAAGTGCATCAGTCAGCTATGGGAGGCTTTTTATTTTAAACTGCGTGTATCTCCTCTTCCCAGCCTACTACCACCAGGGGAGTGTATTCTTTGCCCCCACAACTGCTTGAGAATTACCAACAGAGAGAGCCACTTTTTCTAAGAATGATACCATAAAAATTGGGCTTTCTGATGACAATAAAACATAAATAAGTGCTAATATGGATTAGGAAACTAGATAGACTGAATATTCCCTGGGATTAGGGTCTTTTCTTGAAATTGTTGTCATATCAACACTATTGGCAGTTGTTAATGTCCATTTTTAGACGCATGGAAATGGAAGCCCAGAGAACAAAAGCAGCTTGCTGAAAGGTCCTTGCAAGGTAGACTTCAAACCCTGGCCTGTCTGCCTTGAAAGCCAGGATTTTAACTACTCTTGCAAGAAGAAGGGCAAAGACAAGATTGAAACATGCCCTACCTTTTTGAAGTTTACTGCAGGAACATATGGAGCTCAAAATTCATCAACTGTTAAGAGTATAGAGTTTAAAGAGATGAAATAGTGCTCTTTTGCAGGCCATTTTGTTTTTTCTTTGATCTCCAAACAATGCTACATTTAAATTTGTCTACAACAGCATAAAATTGATATCTGCCCTTTATCATCCACTCCCTATTGGCGATTTTTGTAACTTCTCCACAGAGAAGTTTTATGCTAAAATGTGATGTCAGGATATGCTGCTTTTTTTTTTTTCCTGGCTTAAGCTTCTCATTTTTATATGAAATATGCCAGACTTTGATGTGTTCTCCGAGAATCTATTCTGGACTCTCTCCCTATATTCTAGGCCATTCTAAGGAGAGAGCCTTTGTGTGATCAGTCTCGCCAGCTCTAGAAAAGCAATTGACAGTGGAATCTTTTATTAGATTAGCTATTGCCAGGACAAAACTCACCTCAGGTGCATGGGAAGCTCTAGTTCAAATACCTGAATTCATTTTCACCCAGCACTACTTGGTTGCCTGGTAATTGCAGAGTTACTTAGGGAGGGCTGTGTGTTTGTGATTGCTTGAGCTATAACTTTTTTTTCCCCTTTGCAACCTATTATTGAAATGAAAATGTAACTTAGCTATTTCATGGTGTACGAATGTTTTCAAATAGGATAAGTTCATGCTGTTTTAAATTAGACTCACCAAACATTTTTAGAGTGTTTGTAATATTTCTAAATAACATGTGCTTGTGATTGATGCTCCCTTTAATTCAAACTAGCAGCACATAGTACCCTAAAGCTGTGCCTGCTAAGGCAGTGTGGGTGAAATCTACTATACTCTCCAACTCCCCCAGTGGGTCTTTCCTAGAGACAACTGTTTGCAGTGTTTGAGGTTATCTTACAGTAATTACGGTGTAACCAATACTATAATGGCCACCATGTAAGGAGTCCATGCTTTGTGCCCAGTGACTATGACAGTGATGAAGTTATTATGTCATCTCATTTCATTCTCACAACACAATTTAAAGTTGGGTTTGTGTTATTATTCCCACCTTACAAATAGAGAAACAAGGCTTAGAGGGGTTAAATAACTTGCCCATGCCAAGCTGATAGGGATAAATTGTTGAAAAAACTCTTTAGACTATATGTGTAGGCAAAAGTAGCAGATTAATTTTCAGCATGGTCAAGTAAAAGGTAATGCATTAGAGAAAAGCAATCAAAAGTAATCTCTGCATTGTTTTTTGTGAAGCAGTCAGAGGGATGGGAAGGAAATAACCCTTAGCTCTGCGTGGGAAGCCCTGAGTTCTGTTTTCAGGCCCTGCTGCTTGGGCAGATCAGTTCTCTGTGTAAAGGCAGAGTGTTGGCCATGATCTCTTAAGGTCATTCTAGAGTAGGAACCTGAGAAGGAATCCAGGGTCATCGGAGGTTTCTTAACTTATGTAATTCTATGCAAATAAAGAAAATAAGCAAATTCTGGGAAATATCAGGAAAGCTGTTCACTCAATATGCTTAGGCCCACCTGAATTTTCTGCTTATCCCCAGGTGAACTTCCATCAACCCACCATCTCAGAGGGCAGTGTATACCTTCATATTTATCCCTGCTGGAATATCTTATTGGCTGTAAGCTGTTATTTCGGCTTCAGGATGATATTTTAGAGTCTTGATTATTTGGTCCAACATACTGATGATTCATCCTATATTTTTATCATCTTAAAATTCACAAGTATGTCTCCAAGGTATTGATGGAAATACTGTATGAGGTTGTACCAGGGCTGACTTAAATTAAATAAGTGCTAACACTAATAACAAATATAATTTCATGAGAACTGTACTTTGTATTTCTTTTAATCTTGCTCTAATTTTATAGTCTATTAAAATATACTGTTTGTGCTGATAAAATACAAGTTAAATTAATAAACATTTGTTTTTATCAGTATTTTTGTTTCTTTAGAAAACACACAATTGAGAGGAGTCTTCTTTCCTCCCTCCCTCCTCCCTTCCCCTCCTCCCTCCCTCTCTCCCTTCCTTCCTTCCTTTTCCCAACGTATATGATTAATTATTCAAAACACATGGCTGCAACCAACATGTAATTGATGAGAATATAATCTCATGACAAGCCAAAATATTTAGGAGAACATGGAAACCTTCTAAGTGTTGACATTAAAAAATCTAAGTCTGCAGTGTGACAATAATGTCACAATATCCATTGAGCATTCTTTTATCATGATGTTCTTTCATTTCAATTAATTGCATTTTGGAGAGAAGAACGCTATGCTATTCGTTATCCTTTGTGGTCTCTGTTATGTTCTGAAAATTACCTTGTATTCTCATTATGGTTTTTTTTTTTTTTTTAATAGTCATTCCTCATGGGCTCTGAGTCCCCAGGGCCAATTTTTATCCCTTTCTGTCCAGCAGGTCTGCCATTACCAAACATTATGACATTGAGGCTGCTTCTACTCCTTATCCTTGAAGTTCACTTTTAAGAGGGCAGAGGATAAGTTTTCTGTACTGTGCAAAGCATGACCATGTTTCAAGTTAATTTGGACTTAAAAGAAATCACTTTCAGATTGTTTTGATTCATGGTATACAAACATTATGAGGTTAATCAGCTCTTTAGGGACTTTTGAGTCTTGTGACACTACAATTATTACTTCTCTTCTTCATGTACATGTGTTATTTGACAGTGAATATTGAAGTTAAGTTTCAATTTATTATATTTTAAATGGAAAGGAAGAGTTTTTCATTTTGGGCAAATATACACAACATACACTTTTCTCTGTCTCTCATAACATTTACATTGGGTACAATACTAGTTAAGAAAACTATTCTGTTGGGATGCCTGTGTGGCTCAGTCGTTAAGCGTCTGCCTTCGGCTCAGGTCATGATCCCAGGGTCCTGGGATCGAGCCCCACATGGGGCTTCCTGTTCAGTGGGGAGCCTGCTTCTCCGTCTTCCTCTGCTGCTCCCCCTGCTTTCTTTCAAATAAATAAAATCTTAAAAAAAAAAAAAACTATTCTGTCTTTTCTTCTGGACATGAAAATTCCAATAAAAAATAAGACTGAATCAGGGTTAATGAGCAAAATAGTATTCTTTTGCACAAAGATACAAGAAAATAAAATGTTTGGTATTTGCCCCTGCCTAAAACAATGTATACTAATGGAAATTTGGCATGTTCCTAGAGTCTGAATGCAGAGATTATTAACTAAAGGGACCTGGCTGAGAGTATGTGAGCTCAAATATGATGAAAGGAGTAAAGACCAGAAGAAGCACTGTGTTTGGACAGTAAGCTTGCTGCCTGTACAGACATGGAATCTTTCAAAGTAAGCTTGGTTTCTTGATACTGTGTCCTGAAGGTAAAAATTAGATCATTGAAAAGTCCTCTAGGGGCATCTATAACATTATTTGACTGTCTTTTATTTAAGCTATAATTTATGCATCAAAACTAAAGTTGTCTTCCAAGTGCTGGCATCATTAGAAACCATGCAGCTACCCCAAAGTTCACTGCCAAAGTCTTGGACTTGGGATAGTTGACTTCTGACTCCCCACTACCTGGTCCAGGACTTGGCAGGCAGGAGCTAACAGAATAACTTGGATGTTTGAGGTAGAAATAATTTAGGTAACTGTTATTTAAAATATACAGGCTATCATGGCAGGTTAGTCTTTCTCAAAGCCTCTTTCCCACTTCTCAGTTTACCTAGTCTTAGCCACACTCATGATGACATCAAGCGAGTGCAACTCAGGATATGGTGAAATTTCTCTTAATTTTGTCACGTAAGCCTCAGCAACCAGACATAAGCCTGGGTTCACATCTTGACCTGGGTTTACTTTCTCTTTCCTTTCTCTGCCTTTGCCAAAGCTTCTTTTCAGTCTTCTTGCCTTCTAATCTGTCTTCTACCTCATCTCCTCTTTTTTGTGCTAGTTATCATTTTGCTTCATTCTCTCCCTCCCACCTTCCTTCCATTCCTAGTCATTCACAAAGTAACTAAAAATACCCTATCCTCAAACCAAAGTTCTTTCTACTAAGGAAGAACTACACAGAAGTAAATCTGTATACTAATCCATGCTAATTTGTCTTCCTCTTTATGGGAACTGGTGGTAGAGGAGGAATTATTGTACAGCCTCATTGTGCTTTTCAAAGTGACAATACTCATTTGGTTAGGAACCCCTGGTCTGTTGTTCACTTTCTTTTCATGGCTCATCAAATAGGTCCAGAGCTGGAGGCCACAGAATATTGTGTAGACAGAAGCTTTCAGCTGATCTTGCAGATTGACTTCTGTAGACAATATTCAGAAAATCACAGAAGGTTAAAGAATTGAGAAAGTTTCCACAATCAATAGACAAACAAACATCAAAAACAGTACTCTAAGCTGCATAGGCTTCTGAGATTTTATAAAACATTAGGGGCCAAAAAGAATCCTTTTGTTTGTGTACCTAAATGGCAAAAAAAAAGAAAAAAAAAGTTAAAGTTTCTTCTTCCTTCCTTCCTTCCTCCCTCCCTCCCTCCTCTCTTTCTTTCTTTCTTTCTTTCTTTCTTTCTTTCTTTCTTTCTTTCTTTCTTTCTTTCTTTCTTTC